TATTATTTCATTTGCAATTTTCTTTTTGTATTGTCAACACTAAATACATGTTTCGAGACTTTATAACATCATGATGATGACAAAAAATACGCCATTGATGTATATATATTTTTTATTTTAACCTTTCGCGCAACAGTTGAATATCTAATAACTTAAGTTTAATTCCTGTAATCTTAAATGTTCAGCAGAAAATGAGGGAATTCAGCCCCAAGAAAGTTCGCTCCCGAGTAAAGCACGTGTCCATGAAAAACCATGTTGAAAACCTCCGCGCTTCTTCTTCCAGCAGAAAGACTTGAAGTATACATTTTCGAGGTAAGTCTTGAACGCATTCATCAGTTACAATTTAAATACGGGGAACTCTTATTTATTTTAATTTCCCTCATGTTTCACAAAACTGTTTCAAGACTCAAGACATCGGTTTTTTTACAAGGATTCACACAGGTACGACAGCGCCGACTCTACTCAACTCTTTTGGAGATGTTTGGAAAATAAATTTTAAATTTACCACCGTGTCTGACCATGAAGTTCAGCGAAGTTCTCTCAAAACTTACTTTTACACATTAAAATGCCAGGGTTTTTCACGGAATTATTTTTAGTCTTTGAAAAGATGTGGTAAAATTTGGCGGGAAAGAGTTTTCGGATGAATTCGTCGCAACCAAAAACACCTCTCCTTTTGAGCAACAATTTCTCTTAAAAATTGCCTCAATTACCGAAATTAAATTGCATTTCTTGCTTGACAAATAGCTTTTAATACTACTTTTACGTTTGGAATCGCCAACTAAATATTTCGTTGAAAGTTCGGAATATATATTGCCGCTGAGATTTAACAGATGCAACAGAAATGAAACAAAAGCAATGTGCTTTTGACTTTTATGGTTACAGACTGTTTTTCGTCGTGAACTCAGTAGAAAGTCTATTCACAGAACTACTGAGAAAAATAGTTATCAAATTTGTAAATCAAATTTATTTCCATGTCCAGGTTTATTTTCAAGATGTGTAAGGGATTTCAAACTTAACCACTAACTACTTTAAGCACATTATGAACAGTTCTTGTTCATCAATAACAGATCTTATCACGGTTTTCGACACCATCTTGCGGGTAGGCAAAGCGGTCAGAAATTACAGTGTTTGTATGGGAATCCGATGGAAAATAACTTTTTCCAAAATTGAATTTTCCACAATTTTTGAATCAAAACGTTTAAAGACTAGGTAGAAGATTGTATTCACCAAGTTTGGAGGATGCAGCTTGGCTAGAAGACGCTCTAATTTTCCATACATTTGTCTGTAATTTTTTTCCCGCGAACCGCGTCTAGACGTCCATCTACCCAGCCAAATTTTACAGACAAATGTATGGAAAATTAGAGCGTCTTCTAGCCAAGCTGCATCCTCCAAACTTGGTGAATACAATCTTCTACCTAGTCTTTTAACGTTTTGATTCACAAATTGTGTGAAATTCAATTTTGGAAAAAGTTATTTGCCATTGGATTCCCATACAAACACTGTAATTTCTGACCGCCTGGCCTACCCAACAAGATGGCGTCGAAAACCGTGATAAGGCCTAAGACATGAAACTATCCTTCCATTGTCATAGCAGTTTATTTTAATTTTCAATAACATTGTTTTTTATCATTTTTCAGTTCATTTCCTGAGCATCAGTTGTGCTCCAATCAATCCTCTTCACCAAGCAGCCATCCCAAGACCTTCTGAACAGCATGGTATGGTTCAGTCCTCCCAAACCAAAGATCGACTCATGGTCTAAGCTTATTCAGCTTCTACCCAGATCAGCCTGACTTCATCCAAGACTCTGATGAGACATGATGATGGTGGTCAGTAAATACACTGTGGGCTGGGAGGGGAGGGTAAATATAAAGCTCTGGATGAACCTTACGAAGCATACAAGCACACACTCTTCGGCCAGAAGTCCCTAGACTTCTGATT